GGTAGAAGCTGTGAGCCAAGAATTACGGGATCGTGATGAAGCACTAAAACAACTTAAGGTACATTTATCGCATGCCAAGGCGATAATGAAAGAACAAGCAGATTAAAAAAGACGTGAGGTGAGTTTTAATGTTGGCGAATGGGTTTATGTGAAGTTGAAGACTTATCGACAGTTGACTGTGGCTCGTCGCATCCATCGTTACTTTGGGCTATTCAAAATCGTGAATCGAATTGGTCCGGTAGCATATAACTTAGTGTTGCCTGCGTCTTCTAGAGTACATTCGGTTTTTCACGTTTTGTTACTAAAAAAAACAGTGATGTCGGATTCCTTGGAGCAAAACCTTCCACCTGAATTGGAAATCAACTCTTCTGATATGCTGTTAAATCGCGATATATCGCCGATATATCGGATATCGGTCTATGGAAAAATATCGGTGGTGAAATATCGGTCAAAATATTGGTTCCGATAATATTGCCGATATTTACCGATATTTCACCGATATTTGATGGAAAAATCGGTCCAATATACCAATTTTCTATAAGGCAAATGTTTGGGATTTTTTTTATTACATGTTGAGCTTAGTTTTTTGGGCCTCTTTATTTGGTCAACCAGTCAACACATATATTAGGTCTCACGCTTCTTCTCTTCTCGGTTCTTCACAGTTCACGCTTCTTCTCTTCTCGGTTATTTCACAGTTCATGATTATTTCTCTTCTCGGTCTCCTTCATCTTCACGGTCTGGCTTCTTTATTTGGTCAACCAGTCAACGTATTAGATGATGTTGACTTGGATGCCGAACCTATTGCTTGCGATTAGCTCGTTTTTGAACATTTTTCCTATTTTGTTTTGTGAGGCTTGTTTATGTGATGTTTTAATTTTGAAACTATATTTCTAAACTCTAATTAATGCATATGATATGTTTATGGATGCATACATATAATATATATATATATATATATATATATATATAATTCTAAGAAATATTATATTAATTGTTGGGGGCAAAAACTTGCTTGTTGTTGTCTATCGCCAGGAAGAAGTTCAATCCACGGGTAAGAACTTCTTCCGGGCTTGCTGTCCCCAAACAAAAGGCTGGCCAGTCAAGAGCTGGTGTTTATTTTGGACCGATATATCACCGATATAACCGAAATATCGAATATCAATCCTGATCGATATTTTGTATTTTGACCGCAGTAACAGCATAGCTCTTCCGATATGCTGTTTCCATATTCTATTCAAGCAGTACGTACGGTAAATGCTCACAACGAATCAATTGTAAAATGGTTGATTAAGTGGAAGGATCATCCTTTGGAAGAAGCAACATGGGAGGACGCAATGACTATTAAAAGTCAATTTCCAGAAGCAAGCCTTGAGGACAAGACTTCATTGGAAAGGCGGGGTAATGTTACGGGTTTAGTTGGGCTGGATCATAATGTAAATAAACAAGTATTCTAAAAGTTTATTCTAGAAGGGCCAAAAGGGCAGAAAAGGAAAATGGCTAGAAGTCGGTTAGAGGAGAGGGTTTTACCTTTAAATAGGAGGGAGGTAAAACATATTTTGGCAGAGAATGATTTCCTAAGTTTCTATTGGCTCTTGCATTAGTGCGTTGAGAGAGGGAAGATTCGCTGGTTCATTTTTTCTGTTACTGTAATTCCTTTCAATTTCAATCACATACAGCCAATTTCTTCCTTGTCCTTTTTGTTAGTCATCTTAATCTGTTGATTCCCATCATTTCTTCACATGGTTTCTTGACTTCTAGTCTTGAGTACACATATACATTTATGTATACTCTAACAAATAATATTATATATATATATATATATATATATCTCAGTTTAGTACCACTAAAACCTTTTAATTTCACCATAAAAACTCTAATTATCATTAGCCCAACTCTAAGCATTCTTACCACATCAAATCTCAGGATTTATATTATATAAACACGTTCAAGAGCTCCACATATAATATTTACATGGGAGATTACATAATTGAAGTTTATTATGTGTGGACTCCCTGTATAAATAGTATATACATAATAGGCTAGTGGGCTGAGAATAAAATAGATTTACAAGGGAAAGGAAACCCTAGTGTAGAGAATGCATATGTTTTTATGCCTAACACTTCAAAAAAGAAGTGTAGAGTACCACAAACAAGAAATAAGATAGCTATTGCTAGTTGAGATAAATGCATAATGACATGAAGATGGATGGACATAGGGTACATGATCAGAGATGAGATACAAGATGATGCCTAGGCTTGCAGTTGCTATACTGCCTATGAAAGGATTCTTCTCCTCAAGAAAGTAACATCAGGAGAAGCAAAATATTTCCTATGTTAGGATATATCTTCAGTACGTTTTTTGTGGCTTACAATACCTGGCAATGTGCCATGATTTCTATAAACAAGATGAAAATTATGTGCAGAGTAGACAATACATCTTTTCTTATGATGAAGATGAAATAAATAAGATGGCTAATCATTTCCTTTTTACAACAGTAGATTGCTTTTAATTAGTTAGAGAATGAAAAATTATTATTCAATCAGTGGGGAACATGATACTGACTGTGGTAACATATGGATTTTCTTGTGTGGCACAGTACCATTGGTTCAGGGTGCAACACGTGATGATTCATGTAATACTCCAATCATATTCATATCTTAGAAGGTACATCTTCATAAGTACAACAACTTTAAAATAGCAACCATATTAGTTTTTTAAGTCTATGCATAAAAATTATTAAAACAGATAGATCTATGGAACTCTACAAGAGCTGGCAACTAAAGTGAGAAAGTTTAACACCTCCAATTAAATTATGTAGGGCAGGGGATCCTAAAAGTCAGCATGGACTAGTTAAAGGGCCCCTAAACCTTGATTTATGTGTTTATCCGTGTGCCATCACTCACATTGTAGACTAGAAATAGACTTGCAACTGAAATTTCTTCACATGGCCCATAGCATGACAACCCAATCGCTGTTGGGTTCTTTGCACTATCATCACTTAGATATGTGGTAGGATAATGTCTATTTATCCAATGTATTCATGCCTGATTCCATTTGTTCTAGAAATCTTGATTTCTTGAGAATGCATTGTGTAGGAAATAAGGTAAATGAATAATTAATTACCTCTGCTAACCTTACTAATACTAGAAGTTGGTCAGAATTGTTGGCATATATATGTAAGAAATTACAAATATTTGAGTTTGAGTTTGTCTGCTAATTTGAAATAATTAATTATTTGCAGTGGAGGTTGTGCATAAGACGAGTCATGGTCCTCATGGATGTCCTTTTTGTTTCTTGTTTGTTGTGTCATCTTAGGCTTAGGCAATTATGTTCATGTGCAATTCGAGGTTGACCAGCAACTTAGATGATTATGAATATGCATCATTAACATGAAGAAGATCATACTAATGAGAAGGTTGGAAGGTGTGTATCCAGTTGAGCTTGCTCATCGGGTTAAACTTTTGGAGGATATTTGACTCAAAAATGCCTAAACCGAAGTAGAAGTAAATATATGGACTGAATAATAGCAGTCGTTGAGTGTACTAAACACTTGCGTTGAACAAAATTGTGAATAGATTGCATCATCACATCAAAAGATAGAAATGTATAGTGTCTTGATGCGGTTTTTAAAACATGTGGTTTATACATCAACCAGGAACACTATTCAAGCTTATCTACCAACTTCTTCAAGTATGTAGTACCAGAAAATTAGCCCAATTTAAATGTGCTAAAACAGAATAATAGCGGTATGAAATGCCATTGTGGTAGCACAGATGTCAAGCTTTGTCCTTTCCTGTGTGGATGGTGTATAACATCATCGCAACAGTGTGCTGATGTGGAGTAGTACTTGTTGGGGATGGATGGTCAGTCAGATAACTAAACAGTGATTTCCTTTGTAAGAGGTGACACAATAGTCAATCACTGAATCCAACTTTTGTCTTTCAACAAATTGAAAATTTTATTCTCTCCAATTGTACATTCAAACCTTACATATCACTACCCGCTAGCACCTTTCTTTGCTTTATGCTTCACAACAATTGAAAAATACTTGGAATAGCAAAGAAAAAAGATACCATAAAGTGAAAACTGGTAAAGGAAAAGAAAGCTTGTGAATTTGATATATATCTAGTGTGACATATGGAGTATATGACAAAAGTGTAGTGTTGGAGTACATGTATTGATCTTTCATGTCATATAGGCCCGCATTGTACGATTTATCAATCGTCAAAACTTTTATGGACTAGTCTAACCAGTAGAAGGAACAACACAAGTGATGATCCTGGCTTGTGATGTACGAAGAGGTTGTTAGTCGGTACACTTATAGGTCCTCACATAGTCGTGTGACAATCAAAGACAATGATTGGCCTCGTAATCTTAGGCATAACTTCCTATGTTATGCTTACAAGAGATAACCTCATACACTTTACACTCTCAAGTTATAACCTTGTACATTTCAAGGTGACACCTACTTCAACAGTCGAGGCCTTGTTTTGATGCCCTTGGACAAGTCGAAATTTTAGGTGACACGCTCTACCAAAATCATGATCTTCACTTAACACTGTGATGCCAATCTTTCTACATCAGTATACGTCTTCGGCTTCTCATTGCTGTAATTTTCCGATCACTCTCTTGTATGAATTAAATAGTCTGCCAATCTTTTTAGGTGACACGCCCCTATTGATGTAGGCGACAACAACCTATTGAGTCATGCCTGCAGTTGGATGCTACAAAGGGCTGTTGTTAGTAGGTGCATGTGGTGGGGCTAGGATTTTCCAGTTTTGAGAGGCCTGGGAATTGGTAGCGGGTATCTTAAAGTGTATTTATATATGTCAAAGCTAAAATATGTGGAGTACTGAGTACAAGCCGGCCAATGGGGGCCGATACGTACAACCCTAAAAAATATATAACATATGTGTCTTACACACCATGTCTATAATTTCATTTTAGATAATGTATGCCAACAGCTTAGTAATTGTTTTATTATTTTCATTACAATGCAGGATCTTTGCTTCAATTGGCATTTATTCGTAATTTGGAAGATTCATATGGTAAAATACTCTCAACCATATCAGATTTTCAGAATTGGCATGTATCTTTCTTATTGTGATTATTTTTTGCATCTTACATGTATGCACTCATCGACCTGTATGCACTCATCGACCTGGTGTTAGAGCCTTAGACTTCAGTTTCCTGCTTTTCTTCTTCTATCAGTTATCTTTCCTGTACTGCTTTTAAACATCCATTACTAGACCAACTAGATGAACCTTGTAGATTTCAATAAATATTCCGGAACATTCACTACTACTTTGGATATGATATTAGTAAGTGTATGCAACTTGTCGATGTGTTGAAGCCAGTTGAGCACAATGTGTCTAAAGGAGGTGGGGTGGGGCGATATATGTGCTACAAGACAAATAGTTTCTCAACTTTTTAGCTGCTGATATGTAGAAGGTGCAGCTATCAATATCTATCACATGGAGCTCCTGGCTAATATGGTTATATGCCAACTTGTGAGTGTTTGAGCTAGGCCTTATCTTGATTATACAACTATCCAAGATTTTATTTGGTGATGTTTAGCCTGATAGTGAATAAAAAATTAACCTATTAGATACGCAACAATATAAAGTAAATGGCCATGGCACTTTGGTTCTTTTTCTTTTGAAGTATATAATATATATATATATATATATATATATATATATGGCAAATGAAACACACACACATGCCTCACCTTTGGTACTATGTTAGCTTTTTGATGTCAAATGGGAAGCTCAAACGTCTCATGTTTTTGGATCTACTTCTGGATTTTCCGTTCAACTTCAATGATTTTGAGTTGGATCATAATGCTGAAGAGCAAGTTGATTCATGATTTTTGTATTTTTTACCCTTATATATTATCTCTCAGTAAGGAGTTTCTCGTATAAAATTTAAAATAAGCATTCTTGAATCTGCAATTTAGTGACATATGCAAAAGTCGCTTTCATATTCGTCTAAATGATTCCAGCTCGGGTTATGACTAATTGACTATATTTTGCCCTGCTTTTGCCAATATATCAGCTACAAGAAAAAATATTTGGGATGAGCTAAATTAGTAAAAAGCTAAATTAGTAACAACTCATATATTGATGTTCTCTTATTTGTGTGTGGACCTCATCTTTCTGGGTTAGATAAAAGCTATTTGTTCACTTTCCTGGACTTTTGTTTGACAAATATTACTACATGTAGGCACTGGGCTTCCTTCATTTAGAAGAACACTTGGGAGTCAGAATGTTGGTGGGAGTCAATTGTCTACAGGTCGGTATGTTACGTTTATTCTTCATGATGATAAACTTTGACTAGAGTTGATAATATCATGAATGAGAGAAATATTTCAACTTACAATTTTAGAAAAGTTGCAGCTAGCAACAATGTTGACAACATCGCTTGCTCTTAGTGTACTCAAATTTGCCGCTAGTCCTACCAAATTTTGGGGTGGGCTAGGGGATACGGTTCAAGCCTCATAAAAACTTTTCTGTGTGTGTATTTACTGTTATAGCTGACGAAGAAAAAAATGAAGCAAACTTGCATCCATAAGTAATGTTTCTAACTTCATCATTTACCCTCATCTGGTTTCAGTCATATCTGGTTGGGCGAATGACAAAGAAGCTGCACTTCTACGCATTGGATATGTATGTCCTCGACCTTCATCTGGACCCATATGGTTTATCTTAATTGCTAGTTGTCTATTGAAACCTTATGTCAATCCAGAGGTTATAGAATGTTTGAATGCTAGAATAGAAATCATGGAGAAGCATATGCCTCATGTGAAGCTTGATCTTGCTTTTCCAAATTAAAGAGAAACATGCGTTCATCTTGAATCTGTCTTGATCTGTTGCCTCTCTACACACTAGGTATAGATGAATTCCTCACATCATTGTCATTCTATCAGCTAAACATTACTCATCACTTCCAGCTGCCTACTCTTTTTGCACTCATTATTGCCCTCATCAACTTGGCATTTTGATAAAATTCGGTTTTAGCTAATTTGTATGCATACCTGCCCTACTAAAACATGTATTTATGTTTATGCCAAAGCATATAAACACAGTGCGATTGGCAGTTACTGTAATAAGTAGCACGAATTATGCAAAGCTGTATGTGAGGCTTAGGGAAGGGAAAAGGTCGATGCAGAAGCTGAAATATATGGTGGAAAGGATCACTTGGAAGATGATCAAGGGTTTTTTGTCAAGTGAATCATGCAAAGCTCAAATTATCGAAGATAATGAAATAATCCAATAAATTCAAGTAGTGGTTTCTATTTTTCATCTATTTACTTGGTGGGACATAAGAAAATAGTTCATAGTGCAGATGCTTGAAAGGATGAGAAGGAACAATTTAGCGGTGTTCATTGTTTTATATCATGGTTAGTTTATGGTTATCAGTGGAACTAACTTGTCTAAAAGCATGCTAATTTGTATCTTATGTACAATTTGATCTTTGACATTCTTTCTGTTACATCGAGCATCTTTCACTCAAATAAACGTAACTGTAACCACAAGGGTGGTGCCTGATTGGTTTTGTTGGAATATGGCAGATTTTCAGAATTGAGGACGTGATAATCACTGTCCTTAAAAGAATATTAGCCCCCACTATTTTCGCTGGTGGTTTGAGACTAATTTCTTCCCAGGATTCAACCTCAATTAACAGAACTTTATGCAGCGTACATAAAGTTCACATGAACATCAAACGATTGCAATTATGTATGTATTGAAAGTGTATAGGATGATATTATCTATTCATATGCACCCTTATATAGTAATTAAAATGAACCAACATGACTCTTCATGAATCAACACACCTTTTGGAAAGTTAACCACCAAAAAGAAGTTTTCCCTCCAAAAATAACTACCAATAAGTTTTCCCTCCAAAAATAACTACCATTAGCTACCATTTTCCCTCCAAAAATAACCGCCATTAACTAGCATTTTCCCTCCAAAAGCCTCCTAAATGACTTTCAAATATTTGAGTGGAATAGTATTTATTTAACACACTTTCACTTTTCTTACCCACTTATGTGGGATACATAATACAAAATTGTAGATAAAACCCATAAGTTCCAACAGGTTTAAGCTTGGCTCCAAAGGTCAAAAGTACCTGGAGGTCCCATGTTCAAATCCAAGGAGGAATAAAAACCCCCCCTTGTGGCCACGGAGGTTCAAATGCAGTGACTCTGGGCTATCTGCAAAACAGGTGGTCGCCCTGGGATTAGTTGGCTCGCATAGCGGGTTGGATATCCAGGTTAATCAAAAAAATAAAATAAACGTAACTGTTCCCCCCTAAGGCTAAATGAGTGATGTCCTGGAAGACTTTTCTATTAGTTAATCTACACGTTCCTCATAAAATGCTACACTTCCATCATTTGTGAATGACTCAGACTAACAGAAGTCTACTGTAGTTTTTGCCTGATTACTAAAGGGGATTCCTCTTAATTCAACACCAATTTGGTATTTTGTCAACTGTATGTCTGTATCATCACCAAAGAGTGGATTCTAAATTTCTAGCGCATATGCACATGTCCTATTATTTTACACCAAGTTAAAATATAAAGGTATAATAAAAATGTCAGTACTATCTTCAATCCCTGGAAGCCTTCTAAAGATTTCTTCCATTTCCACTTGCCCACTTACGCACACACATGTATTTGCTATTAAGAGCATTATTCTTTTGCAAGTAGATGGAAGCTGTTGGATATGTTTTCTTAGTGATGGTTTTTTCCTTGGTGTATATTATGCATAAAATACATTTCTCTATTTCATATTATTGATATTTTATGTCATTTGTTTTTATTCCTTATTTCTGCAGGTCAAACCTGAAATAGTTAGCTGGTCTCCACGAATCATCGTGTTCCATAACTTTTTAAGCACCGAGGTAAAAAAATATTTTACATTGTTCACCATGTTTCTATGGGTTAACCTTTGCTGAACAAAGTCTTTCAAATCTACATCAACCTTAGAGAGTAGCCTTTTTATATATGTGTCAAAGCTGAGCATGAAATTAAATTAGTTTATCTTCGGTAAATGACCGAAATTTTACCTTGTAGATTTCCCTTTAAAATGTTTAAATCTAAAAGTGAATAAGGTAAATATACCTACAAAAATGGGAATAAACATGACAAATTATGTCAAGGTTTACTTTGCATGATGAGTACCATCTTCCGATGTTTAGCCTCAATTTTGGCTAGGAAACAAGTATAGGAGTCTAACTTCAACAGTTTTTTTGTGAATTTTATGGTGAAAGAACTCCAAAGTTAGAGAACCTGAATGACCATTGCATCTGTTGGGGAGCAACATGATATATATGCATCTATGTTTTATATTTTCCTTTTAGTCTTACTTTAGTGCTCTATAATTTGTCCTGGTGGCTTGTCTTATACTCTATGTTTGCGCTGTGGTCAATACTATTGTCACACTTTTCCAGAATCACTCTTTCCCTGGTATAAGAGGACGATTTTAGATATGAACCCTAGCCCTTCAAAATGGTCGCCTTGATGCCTTGCCATCAATGAATGCTATATCTTGTGAAGCTTATGGCTTGTGCACCACCTCTTTCAACCTCACAGGATGTTGATACATGTGTTATATCCCTGTCTGTCATCACAGAGCTTTGATCTAGTTTGACAAAAGGACGTGGTTGTTTAAGCTTTGCATGGTTGCTGAGTGATTGTGACGCAGGTGTCAAGGTTTTATGATCGATTGATAACAGTTGTCTGAATATCTATATCAAGTGTTTGGTCTCACCACTTTTTATTATTCTGACTAAGTTGTGATTTGCAATCTCTTTGACATTATGTTTTGATGTCCTTTGGAGTTACAAGTCATCTGGGTTATTGCTGGTCACAAGGTAGATATATGAATTTACATCTCCAACACCCAATTGGGTTGGTCTTTGCTTTCATTTACTTTTAGTTGCACTGGGTTTTTTTGCATTAGACAGTATTTGAGTAGGTGGAGCATTGTATCAAAATTTTACTTTTTAAATTAATTTCAATGGTTATTAATAATCCAATAATTCCATTTTGTGATTTATTGGACCTTTTTTTAATTTCAAATTTCTTGCATTGGAAACTAAAAAGTTATTAGTACTTGGATGTTTCAAGGCGGTATAATGCTAGCTTGCTTGTGTATTCCTGAATTTTTATGACCATTGTAGGAATGCGATTATCTTCGAGCAATAGCCAAGCCCCGTCTTCAGATCTCAACAGTCGTGGACGCGAAAACTGGGAAGGTATGTTAAAAGTTGGGATATGGTTTGTTTATGTTTATATTCAAATGATGCTTCCTTTAAGTGAATTAGTTGCTGATTTGAATTTGATAGTTTGTGGGTAGTTTGCAATTATCATCAGGTTGAACTATCTACCTAGGAAGTTTGCTTAATTCAGATTCCAGAGCATTGTTGCTAATACTCATTTTGACTAATTTCACTGTTAATGCTTTGATGGTTAATATTAATGCATCATGTACGTGGCTTCTTTCAAGCATGATCTAAATGCTGAAACTGCAGCCAAGTTGCCATAATAGTCGAGAGTGCATTTTCTCTCCCTGTCAGACTCAACGGTGAACACTTGATCACCATATGAGCTATCACATGTCTAGGTGAACCTGATGTACTCAGTCGCCTAAAATAATATATAGCGTTGGAATGGCTTCTAAGTAACTTCTATGGAGACTATGAATTAGTTCGTTTATCACAAACATTGCCCTATATGCCAACCACTCCTAAGATTTTGCTTAAAAAACAAATAAATGGATGATGGCCCAGTATTATTCCTTCAGTAAGGGCAGGGTATGCAGAACAAGAAGACAATAACTGGAGTTAGATCAAATTATTGTTTAATTTGATCGTTATTTGTAGACAAAGATGAGTGGAAAGAAACCGAAATCTTGTCACATATGTAATTTAGCAAAAAGATAAAAATTGACACAGAATTGTACTGTGCAAAGCGTAGGTGTCTTTGTGCTAAAGTACCACCACGGGTGTACCTTTTGATTGGAACAATGAGGTACTTCTCACAATTGCTAAAGTTGATTTTAATAATATATTAGGGTTCTAAATAAGTTTTAGAATGTGTTAATTCCATTACCGGTTTTAATAAACCAATTGAATTTCTGAAATTGAAATTTTGCACCTGAGTTGCATACAGTAAGGATCAGTTATTCTTTATGCGTCCTACCTGATGGTTTGCTTCAATAGGGAATCAAGAGTAATGTTCGGACTAGCTCAGGCATGTTTTTGAACCATGCAGAGAGGAAATATCCAATGATACAGGTTAGCATGCTCCACTTGGGTTAGAGCTTGTAAGTGGTATGGCTAATTTTTATTGTGTTGGCATTCCTACCTTTCCCCACCAAAGGTGAAGGATACAGTTGGTTTTGTGTGCCACATATAGTCCATATAGCACTTAGCAATTTTAGTACAATTTAACATTACTATATCCTGTTTATTTGCAAAATCAGGCAATTGAAAAACGAATTTCTACATATTCTCAAGTTCCAATCGAAAATGGAGAGCTCATTCAAGTGTTAAGGTGGGTGCTTTGTTTGTTGAGTTTTCAGTTTCGCATTTTATTCACAGGTATACTAATACATTTTCAGTATTAAGGCTAACATCTACAGAAGCACAGGTACGAACCAAATCAGTTTTACAGACCCCATCATGACTACTTCTCTGATACTGTAAGTAAATTACTATAACTATACGTTCTATGCGTGTAATCTGTTATTTAGTCCACTTTCTACCTAAGTAAGTTGTCCTTCCATCCTTTCACATGCTCTATGAGGCGAGTATTTTTCTTGCAGTTCAACTTAAAGCGTGGTGGTCAAAGAGTAGCGACCATGTTGATGTATTTAACTGATAACGTTGTAGGGGGAGAAACTTTTTTCCCTATGGTAAGAGTTGCATTCCTGCCGATGCTTATATGTGTTCTATCTTATCAGTATATACGAAGTGTGTGGTTCTCCTAGATATTGATCATGGATCTCACATGAATTTGACTCATAAGAATATTGGGATATGCTGAAAGCAGCCTTTATTTAATATATCTGCAAATAAAGTTTATTGAAGAATTATATCTGCTTTGCTAGTATAGTTAATAGATAATGTCATAGAAGATAAATATATTAGTAGCTATGCTATTATATGGGTACAAATGGAATATACATCATATTCTAGATACACTATCTTATTGCATTTCTTTTGAGTTACTATTGAATCTAGAGAAAACCATTTAAAGTTTAGAACATCTTGAAAATTAAACATACTGGAGGCTCAATAGTCATTAGAGTCATGCCCTATATTTGCATTATCTCCTAAGGCTCTTACTTTTGACGATAGCACCAAAAAAAGTAGAGAATGTTTCCGTGTAAAATCTGAGTAAGTAAAGGTTGATAATTATAGAATAACATTAGTATAACTTGTTGGAACAAAAATGTTGTATTCAAGTCCCTGTGCTTAAATTGTTTTATAATGCTTTGTAGTGTAGTTTCCTTTTATAGAAGGTTTGTTTAGTTTCCTTTTATAGTAGTGGTATAAATAGTGTGTTGTTAGTTTTGTTAGTTGATTAACATTCTGTCAGATTCGTTCGTATACTCAGATTGAGAGATTAGTGAAGATCAAGAACTTATTGTACTTACACTTTGGAATACAAGCAAGCCGACATATTGAATTCTTCTATGTTCTTGGTCATCTTTGTATGAATTGATTGTTATGACTTGAATCTGGGATCACATAACTTAAAACATATCTAAAACCCTCTGAATGAAGAATGTGAAAACGAAAACACAAGGATAAACTAGAAGGAAAATATTGAAAACCAAGTAGGATAAGGACTTCAAACAAACTAGTATTTGAACTCTTTTAACAGATGCAAACATCTTCTGTTTATATGCTAAATATATGAATTCTGATATCAACATGATACTGGAGATGGGTTAGGCTTTCAGGAAATGAAATGTTGCTTAATTTGATTATTTGGTTTGCTATACTTATGATTCTAATTATGAACATCTGCTTAACTTGTATGAACGAAATGTCAGGCTGGTTCAGATGAATGCAGCTGTGGTGGAAAAATGGTCAAGGGACTTTGCGTTAAACCGAATAAAGGAGATGCCGTGCTTTTCTGGAGCATGGTTTGTTCCCCCACACTCGATCACTTTTGTTTCTTTTAAGTAGCAACTGTTTGATTTATTCTGTGCGATAATTTCTTAATGATTCACGAGATACATCATAGAAAATACGAAAGAGATGCTTTTCTATCACCAGGGGCGTTCCAATCTTTATGGAGGCCCTGCTACATCCAGAACTTTTGATTACATTGCATAAATGAGATAAAAGAGAATATATGTTAAGAACAAAAATGGGCTAAACTTAAAACGATTAACAATCTGAAACTAAACCTAAACCATTAATGATTTGAACCTAAAACTAAACAATTAATGGTTTGAACCTAAATAATTTCGGCTATAGTTTTACACAGGTCGATAAAAGACCCTGATCACATGTAAATTTGGGCCCCAAAATTTCGGGGGCCCTATTCAAAATCTCACATTTTGGGACGACCCTATCTATCACCTATGCCATCGAGTGGAAAAAATTCTGCCCACCATACCATATGTTTTCTATTTACGTTTTTCAAATGAACACACTTTGGTTGGATTCATATTTTGTGTAACATACTTTCAAATTTATTTTAGTACCCTAGATATGACATTTCTAACATTTGAGTACCTAGTTTATATATGAGAATACATGGAAACGAAACGTACTTTGGTTTGATTCCTATTTTGTGTAACGTATGTTGGTGCAACTGTTTGAGATATCCTATCTGAGGTGCCAAAATGAAGGTTTTCAAAGTACGTTACACCAATTAGGAATCAAACCAAGGTATGTTGTCTTTTCATGCGATTTATTATTTTTGCCTTCGTAAAAGGTAGTAATAACAAAAATTTGGAACGTTTTCTAGTCTAGTGGTTGGTGGCCGAGCATCTAATTGACGTATGTGATGAAAACTCGTAGGGACTTGACGGAAAATCAGACCCCGACAGCATTCATGGCGGTTGCGAGGTTCTTTCTGGAGAAAAGTGGTCTGCAACAAAATGGATGAGACAGAAACCTACTTCCTGAAAGGTTATTGCAAATTTATTAAGGTATGTACAAGTATAGCGTCAAATTTCTAACTTAAGAAACTCATATACACAAGTATTGGGGAACCTTGTATCAATTCTATTCTCAAAATTAGATGATATGATTAAGCCAAGTTATATGTCTATTTTTGTAATGGTGGATCTTTGGAACAACTTGTGCACACCTGTTCTAATCCTATGGGCTCTGAAGTTAACAGTTAGACAATTTCCTCGTAGGACATTTGAACCGGTAACCGCTACTAGGTTGTGTTTGGTACGTAGGACTAAATAAGACAGGACAAAACTGATTGTCTCATGTTTGGTGTGATATAAGACAGGACAAAAACTCATTGTTCCATGTTTGTCATGATATGAGATTGGGCCAGGGGTAGACATGACAAAAGGGTTTTTTTTTTTCATTCTACCAAAGTAGTTGGAAACAAGATGAGACAAGAATAAGATAGAACTAAAAAATCATCTATTTTTTTTTTACTGTAATTTGATAGGGAAAATTGGATCAAGATGGTACCAACTTTGGTTTGATTTATATTTTGTGGAACTAACTTTAAAAATTGTCATTTAAGGCTTTGCAACAAGTTTGCTTTTATTTTAGGGTCTTGTTGACATGTTGAGTGGGTAACTGGTCCGGTTAATATGACGTTGCAAATTCTAAACTAAAAAAGTATTAGTTGGATGTTTAGGGTGCCATATCATCGTTAATTTTAAAAAATACAAACTAAACGTCCATAAAAAAAAAATCAAACACTCGATGCTCTAACGCCCACAACGGATATGGACCGAACTGTCTCACGACGTTCTGAACCCAGTTCACGTACATAAACTGTATATTAGCTAAAATACATTAAAGAAACAAATTTCTCTTTTTTATAAATTATATCATTATAATCGTCTCGTCAATAATTTCAAAATAAACCTCAATATTTAATATTTTTTTAATTTAATCAGATTATTAAATATAATAAATACGTGAAAAATATTTTTAATGCTTAATAAGAGTATAAAGTGTAAGTGCTAAAAATAATTTTTATATATTTATTCTATTTAATGACATGATTAAATCAAAAATATTCAATATTTGGGTTTATTTTGAAGGTATTGACGGCACGATTATAATGATATAATTTGTAAAAAAAGAAATGTATTTTTTTGATATATTTTAGTTAATATACGATTTATATATAACTAGTTGTGTACCCGTGCAATGCGCTGAAAGCCGTGAATTTTAACGATTTTGAAGTTTCACTGGTTTTATTAGAGAAGATTTAACGATGATATAAGTTACATTTGGTCTTTACATATTAATACAATTTGAATAAATAAGAGTTATGGTTCCAATTACAGTCTATCGATGAAAAATATTATATGACAGTTTAAAATCCAATATATTTAAACGACTCTACAAATGTGTTCGATTTACACCAAGAGTAAAGAATAAAGAGATCGAGAGTGAGACCGAGAGTTCTAGAGCAAAAAACTTCTGAGATGAATGAGATAATTTTTAATAACTTATAGTGAATATTAGTTTGAATCTCACATTGGGGGATGGGGAGAAGACATAATGTTATGAGAGGGTAAAGACACGAGTGAAAGGTGTCAAAAGTATCTTGAGAACATAAAAAAAGATAATAATATGCATTGGTAACTTGTACTATATATGTTATTTTAATTGTAGATTAAGAGATTATAAAACCGAATGCATAAAATAATAATAGTTAATGCATTATGAGTTGTTTTTAAGACTTTATGCATAAATGCATAGTACTTTATACATTAAAAATCATTTTTAAAACTTTTGATAAATCTGATTTATAAGATAGTATAGATACAAAATTACAATCGACAACTTTTCATAACCCAAACAGGAGTCATAAAAGTATTCAAAGGAAAGTAGGTCATTAAAGCACAAGTGCTTTGCTTTTTACTTCCAAACATGTTGGCTTTATGCAAACCGACATATGACATACAACAAGTTGCGTTGTACGACCAACCTCGTTTGTCAAATGGACCATGTGCAATAACTCTACTATTACAAGTTGACCATCTACAATTGACAAAATCAAATGTCTACCACAAGTTGACCATCTACAATTGACAACGTCTGATTGGTTTGAGCTTGGCTGCAAAGATCAAAAGTACCTGGAGGTCTCAGGTACAAATCCAAGGAAGAATAAAAATCCCCTTGTGGCCACAGAAGTTCAATTGCGGTGACTTCCGGCTATAGGCAAAACAGATGGTTGCTCTGGGATTAATCAGCTCGAATAGCAAATTGGATATCCAGGCTAATAAAAAAACAAAAAAGGAATGAAGCGATGACCATTCCTCTACCAAACAGTCTTAATTACCAAAAAAGAAAAGCTTGACGTTTACGGCTATTGATGCCTTCTCATTTGAGGTCTTATATCTTTGACGATTTCAACATGTGCATATTGCAAATTCGAGAGCATATATATTCTTGGTCTCGAAGGAGGAAGGTAGATTCATCTATACATTTTGCTTCACTTTGCCATTGGCTTCGATATGTCTAAGGTAATGCATTACTATTCCAGTTTTATAACTTGATGCTAGATAATATTCTTGATACAATCATAAGGGTGGTGTCTGATTGGTTTGAGCTTGATTCCAAAGGTCAAAAGCACCAGGAGGTCTCAGGTTCAAATCCAATGAGGAATAAAAATCCCCTTGTGGCCACGGAGGTTCAAATACGGTGACTCCGAGCTATCTGCAAAGCAGGTGGTCACCCTTGGATTAGTCGGCTCGCATAAAAAATGGTTTTTAAGAGTTTTTGTCAAATGCTTTATAATATAAATATAGTATAGATAAATTATAGTTTGAGTTTTTTAATATTTAATATATTATTTGTTAATATTTAACAACTGTTTTAAAATGAAAATGAATATTTATAAAATATTTGATGTATACATATTATTCGTTAATTATTCTTTTATTAAATCAAAAATCATTTTATAAAATCAAAATAAAGTATTTTATTTAACTTATTCACTTACAATATTTGTTTATTTTTCATTTTAATTAATAAATTAATATTTTTGGTATAACTTCGTATTAATAAATATTTAACTGGAATTTTCTTATTATTTACAAAGAATAGAGGTAAAAGTAAACATGCACTGTGAAAAATGTAGGAGAATGGTGCTAAAGGCAGTCTCCAAGCTATCAGGCATCAATGAAGTGTCAGTGAATCTTAATAAGCAGGAGTTGGTTGTAATTGGAGATGTTGACCCGGTGTGTGTTGTACGTCGTGTTAGAGATACTGGGAAGATAGCAGAAATAATCAGTGTTGGACCAATCAAGAAACCCGATGTTCCTAAACCTAAACCTGAACCCAAAAGAGATCATTGTGAATGCCCGAAAGTCTACCCACGTTGTAATGATGCGTGTTCTACCATTGTTATCGGATATCAAGAATCATATACAGATAGTGGGTGCATGATAATGTGATACGCAATCAAATATATTTACGTGGATGTGGTTATAGATCTAAAGACTGAAAAATGATGCAATATGAATCATGGACGTCCAGAGTATAACATTGGAGGTAATCAGACAAATAAGCGGACGCGTACTTGTTTGTTTATGGTTTTTTGTTCTTGTTTAATGCTTTTGCAGTTTTCAGTTATAATAAGTGAAAAAGTTCATCGTCTTGCCCATGTGAGCAGTTGGTATGCAGATATATGTTTATTTATCATGTGTTTTTAATACAAATATAGTTGTATACGTGTTACTACAGGACATGATAAAGGTGTAGAAACAGACTCTTGAGCACATATTCAGTACCTTTTTTTTCTTAGTTTTATAATTCCTAAAACATATATTGAGTCTTTTATTCATATTTTACATTTTATTAAGGTCTGAAGCTAAATTGCAGGATTTGGTTATGTTTTACTTGTTTTTGAGTAATTTGACTGATTAGTGTGTTGCTACAACAGGTTTTACTAAAGCGAATAAGGAGTCAATAACTTACTACAAGTTTTGGTCTCTAAACCTTTTTTCTCTTTAATTTTAATCTTGAAAGCATTCGGTACTTGACTGTTGCTACATCAATATTCTTCATTTATGGACATTTACTTTCTAAACATTTTCCAGCACTTTACTTTTATGTTATTTACATACTTATCTTTACATTCAGCAATGTGGGGCTAAACACCCTAGCTTGGGTGTAGGCGACGGTTGGACGATTAAGCCGTAGTGTTCGTCGATAATTGCTTTTGCCATAACAATCTACCCCATTATTCACTCTTGGGTAGAATATTTCACCGAGTAATTCTTGACAAAATGACCCATGTTGTTTCACCTTGGTGAATTGGATTTAAATTTAAGACAACGCAAATGTTTTAACCAAGAGGGTTATAGATGGCTATATAGAGATGCAACGATATTCATATGTTGTTAAACTATATGGAAAGAAAGGTAAGATTTGTACTCAACCTGGATTTGTACATCTCCATGTGTACTACCAGCATATGGTCTAATATGAACTTCGAAAGAAGGCCGTTTGATCCAGTATTGGAGAGATTTCTTGTATACATGAGATCTTTGAGAGCTCAAGAACACCATGGACTTTGATCTTCATATCAATACACATGCCAACTCATTTGAATCAATCTATGTTCTTGATCTTGTGATTAATTGTGAATTGTGACTTGAAACTGGGTTAATAGATTTTAATTCAACCTCAAGCTCAGAAATTGTTTTTCTAAAACAGAAATTTTAGCATTTGAATTAAATTCAGGATTTAATGAATGATCCGATTCGTTTGCTCAGTCTCCTCTTCAGTCGAATCAGAATTGTAAATCACCTCATTTTCAGATTCAGAGTCTGAGTCTGAATCATATTTGCAAAAACATCCGGAGACATTTTGTTTATGAAAGCAGAAAGATCATCAAACTTCGAAGTTTCTTCTTTTGTTGACTCAGATTTTGATGAAGAATTAATGTTAAAATTTTCAGTGGGAAATAATGACACAATTTCAGAATGAGAAAATTGAGGTTTTCTAGTTTTATAACTTTAGTTTAGATCATCATATTTCAATCCCACATTTTGAAATTTTGATTTTTCAGATTTTTCATAAATATCTTCATCTGATTTGTCCTTATCACTTTTAAAAGAGTTAGGTGATTCAGATTCAGATTTAACAAAGATTTCACAAACAAACAGGATTGTGAATTTCGAAGATCCTAATTCATTGAAATCATATAAAGAACTTGGAGCCTTTTCAAAACATCAAGTTCATTGAAACCTAAACCCATTCTTGGATTATAAAATCTTGCATCTTTGGGTTTGTTTGATAAAATCATCAATATTTGCTCAAATTGACCTCTTTTAAAAATGATTTCTTCCAACTGTTTGACTTTGTCGTACAATTGACCTCTTTCCTTAAAAATATAATCAAGTTTCAACTGAATTTCAACTTTCTCACCATCTACTTCATTCAAATTTATTTTCAGTGTAAGAATCATTTTCTCTAAATCAATTTTTGCAAATCTGAGTCGTTCTTTCTCTTGTCTCGGATCTTCACATAAATCTTTATAACCATAACTTTCCGTTCAAAATTTTAACATTAACGCTCTTTCACTTTTTAATTTTTGTTTTAAAATAAATTTAGAACTGGAAGAAATTTAGTACCTCAGACTCATTTTCAGATGACGATCCTCCTCCTTCGTTCTGCTTGGACATCAATAACATATTAACTTGTGTGAAATGTACGTCTTCGTCATTAGATGAATCAATTAGCCAGATTTCTTCATCAGCTACCAATGTTTTTCCGTCTTCCAGAGTTTTAGCCAGATGAGCTTTCTTCAGATAATAATTTGAATCTTTGAATTTTTTGAAGCGACAAGCCTTGATGAAGGGACCAGATTTTCCACAGTTAAAGCAACGATTGTCTTCAACTTTAATTTCTTTCTGATCTTTCTATTTGGATGACTTATCAAACTTACCTTCCTTGCCCTTCCTCTTATCAAACTTGTGAAATTTCTTCATAAGCAAAGCCAACTTTTTGGAGAATTCCCCATTATCATCATCAAATTCTACGGATGAACCTTCAATAGATTCACTTTCAGATTGCTTTGGCAATTCAGTCTTCAGAGACTTGGAATTCTTCATTTCAGATCTGCTCTTGCTTTGCTTATTAGATAGAAGATGTAGTATATGTCATGAATATCTTCTTTAGACATGTTCTCGTTCATTTGAAGATTTACTGCAAATGTATTTCATTCATAATTTAGATTGTTTAAAAACTTGTAGTTAATTTCAAAAACAGACTTCTAAAGACCATTCATTCTCAGATCGTTCAGAATTATGTTGAACTTGTTGTAGGATTCAGTAATAGATTCATTTTCTTTGGTTTTGAACCCTTCATAAGCACTAGTCCATTATCGTAATAATAATTTGTATAGTGTATAGAAATCCTTTTTTATTTTTGCAAATTTTTGATTTACAAAAAATTCAAATAGATCCCATCAATCTTGTCTGCACTGACTTCTCAGTACCAAGCATTTGTTTTTCTAGCTCATCCCAGAGTTTTTTAGCTAACCCACGATTGTCCACTCTATTGAACAACTCATTCGCTATAGCCATTAGCATGTAAGTCAATGATTTCTTGTCAACTAAGACCTTTTATTTCTCAGCGTCATTGTAAAACTGAGGATCTTTCTTCTATTTTCTGGAAAGAATAACTGTACCATCCTCTATAGCCTGAGCTGGAATGTCAACGTATTTGACATAAGGTCCATTTTTTATGGATTGCATTAACTTGTGTTGTCCAGAAAGTGTATCATCCTTAAATTCCATTGTGGGTACTCTCCAATAGCTTAAACTGGAGGCTTAGAATCTGAACCAATACTCAAAATATCCTTTGACATCTTGAATATGACTTGAAATGATCGTTTCACAAAATAATCTTGAACATAATTCGAACTCTCAATAAAACCTCTTGATACTTAGAAAATCGCTTGAACTTGAACAAAATATCGCTTAAAGTGAATATCGCTCAACACAGAAAACCACTTGAAGAGAAAACCGCTTGGAATAGAATATCGCTTGGACTGAATACCGCTTGATATAGGATATAACTCAATACAGAATACCGTTTGCCAAAAAAATATCGCTCACCGAAGGAAATTGCTCAATAGGATATCTCTTAACACTTGAGCGATATATCTAAATATCGCTTGAGACTTGGGCGATATACTCAAACTTCAAAAACCACACAAATATCACGACACTTGGGGGCAATTTCACATAAATTGTTAGAGTCTTAGAATATTCTCTGTCTTGAACTACCACAAGGATATCGCTTGATACTTGGATGATATTTACAAATATCTTTCAACTCTTGAACGGATTACCCAAAATATCATTCAACACTTTGAGTGATATACCAGAATATCGCATAAACTTTGGGCGGTATAACAGAATATCAGATACACTGTGAGCGATATAAACCAACTATCGATCACAACTTGAAAACAGATTAAACCAAACAATCTCCAACGAGCGATGACTTCATGAAAATCGATCAATCCAGTCTTCAAACCTTCAACGGACGATGTTCGTGAGAATATCGCTTAAGAGCATCTTCAATGGGTGATATTAATGGGTTTGACAACAAGTTTGAACAATTTTGTCAAAAATTCACAAAACTCAAAATTTGACATTGAAATTAGCACAAATAAGCTCGAAAAATGTATTCTAAACAACTTTTGTAAACACAATTTTGTCAAAAACAGATTAAAAGTGACCAATTTGACCAAAATGTGAACCAAAAACAGTTCAAAAACAAGAAACTGTCAAACACCAATAAATCAAGAAATTCAAACATATTTTGATTTCAAATTCGTTCAATCTTCTTTCTGATTTGTTCTGATACCAATTGTAGATCCCAGATTAAGTCACAATCAATCAATTGATTAAGAACACAAGATTAGACTTTAATTAGTCGGCTTGTCTATTGATATTTTCAATTCTCTCAGAGTACAATACGGAGTGTTCTTGATGTCTAAGCTCGGATTGATGATTCACTAACTAAACCAAACTAACAAGCTATTTATACTCTAGAGGTTACACAGACAACCTCTAAACAGCTATATAAAGATTAATTGAAAATACAGTAAAACAGGGACTTGAATTCAACTATAATTCCAACAAGTATAAAGAGTCATATTATTAAATCACTTAGAGAGTTTGGATCAACACTAATCAATACCAACTTTTTTGTTGTATTATTAGTTATTGAGTTACATTTCTGCTAATGTTTCAACTCTGATGAAAGAATAAAGTTAAATTCAGTTCACATACAATACTTAGTAGTATAAGAAAAAAGTAACATCACCTCTTTAGGATTGGGGCATTACATAGATAATATATAAATAAATATAATAATAATATATATATCTATATTATCTTATTAATCAAATTTGATAAATGTCTTAAAGTCTTAAAAATGTACAAAATCTAAAACACAAAATACTTGTCTTTTAAGCTTTCCCTGTAGAAATCTAAAACACAAAATGACTTTTAAGCTTTCCCCAAGATGACTTTTAAGCTTTCCCTATAGAAATCTATATCTATACTATTTTATAAATCAGATTTCTCAAAAGTTTTAAAAACAATTTTTAATGCACAAAGTACTATATATTTATGCACAACGTCTTAAAAGTCTTAAAAACAACTCATAATGCATTAAGTACTACTACTTTATGTATTTAGTCTTAAAATCTCTTAATCTACAATTAAAATAACATATAGTACAAGTTACCAATGCACATTATTACTCTTTATTTTCATGTTCCCAGGATACTTTTGACACATTTCACTCGTGTCTTCACCTTCTCATACCTCTATATCTTCTCCCCATCCCCCAAAGTTAGATTCAAATTGATATTCACCATGAGTTATTAAAAGTTCTCTCATTCATCTCTCATTCAATTGCTCTAGAACTCTTGGTCTCGCTCTCTTGATTCTTTGCTTTTGGTGTAAATCAAATACATTTGTGGAGTCGTTTAAATATATTGGATTTTAAATATATTAGATTTTAAACTGTCATACAATTTTTTTCATCGAGAAATTGTAATTGGAAATATAACTCTTATTTATTCAAATTGTATTAATATGTAAAGACAAAGTATAATTTATATCATCGTTAAATCTTCTCTTAACAAAAGCAGTGAAACTTCAAAATCGTTAAAATTCACCGCTCCTGCCGCATTGCACGGGTACACAACTATATATATATATATATATATATATATATATATATATAGAGAGAGAGAGAGAGAGAGAGAGTTTGTTTCAAATACAACTCATCGCATTTATACAACCACTGCAATCCAATAAATTGAAATACTTATGGAAATGATGAGAGTTCATTTATTATGATTTAAATATTTATGGAAGATGAATGCGGTTCATTAATTATGATTAATACTTTATATTAGGAAACACTCAAAACTTCTATGAAATTATATATTTATCAAATTAATGGACGGTTGAGATTGAGTTGTATTGATTGTATAAATGTAAAAGGTTGCATAATAACTCACCATATTATATTATATTCTTTTTAAATTTTTAAAAGGAAAATAAGTAAATGACGGAGAAGAAGAAAACAACCGCTCATTTAACAGATAATTTTTAATGGAGTTAGTGAATGAGAACCATTTTTAAAGCAAAATAAAAATTACAAAAATGATTTATAAACCTATCAAAACGCATGTCACAACTTTGAGACTTTTAACTAAATCTTAATTGCTATTTAAAATTGCTCTACAATTAAACTTATATGCAACAGTTTTAAATAAAAACATTTTATTATTTATTTTTATAAATTTAATTTCTATAAATTAATTTATTAGAATGTTTAGACCTCAAATGTAATTAATGGAATGACTCTTGAAATTATATATTTATCAAATTAAGGTGTTGTTTGTTTACCTCTTAATAATTTCATTAAGAGGCAGTCTCTGAATCGTTAAAAGGTGAATCTTGTTTGGTAAAAAAAAGTCTGTCTCTTAATGGTTCTAAAATCATCTGAATGATTTTGTATCATGGGTCTCTCTTAACCATTCAGCGCTCTAATTTCGTTGTAAATAATTATCAATTAATTATATTTCATTTTGCACTATATCATGAGGGTCTCTTAATTATTCTGACCACTTAATCATTCTGCATCAAACCATTCATCAACTACCAAACAGTCTCGACCACTTATTTGTTGATTTTTTATCATTACATTTTATATTATTACTCTCTCATACATGTTTTTATTAAAAAACTAAGAAAAATAAAAAACTACGACTTAACTTAAAACAAAAGTTTGGTTTTTTTTTATGCATTTGCAATGCAACAAGATACATTTTGATTTTAATATTTTATTTTATTATTTATCTTAATCGATCTTATAATATGGTTTTATGTGATTTTAAAAAGATGATAATGTTTTTATTTTTGAATAAATATAAGTTTGAAAATATCATAAAAATTTGACAAAAACATGTTGATATTAATATCAAATTAACTATTTAATTTTTTATATTTTTTTTGTACTTTTTTAATTCAAAATTTTATTATAATTTAATTTAGATTCAATAATAACGTAATTTATATTTGATTTAATAATATTATTTTTTTATAAAGATAATAGTTAATTATTTTATTAGAACTCAATAATTATCTTAATTATATTTTAGATCTTTTATATTTTAAAAAGAGATGTTTATCCTTCATTTGGTTATGTTTATCCGTAGTTAGTTACACAAATTCGAACATAGAGCTTTAATAAGTTGTACTTACGTACAATTTACTTGTAATATTGAATATTAAGTAATATGCATCAATAAACAGTACTTCATGCATAAAAATTGGTTTTAAAATTTTTTATCAAATGTTTTATAATATAATATAAATATAATAATTTATTTATTTAATGTTATTATAGTGTATATTAATTTGTCTGACTCACAACGAATATTGTCCGAATAAATCTATTTTGTTGTAGCGTCATCCCTAAACTTATATACAAATATTAATTAGTAAAATGGTTAAAAGGCCTATTTGGGTACAATAAGGTCGGAGGGACTAAGGGGTCACCTTAACAAGTGCTTATTTACCGGTAAAATTTAACATCGTCATTTACTTACCGGGTAATATTTTAGTCTAGCAAAACAGTATCGTATGCAACAATTTACCCGGTAAATGTTAACCGTGGTAAAACTCATCGCCTTCACTTACCGGATAAGACTTGATTTTGACTTTGCTCTTACGAGATAAGTTTCTTGGTCCTTGTCATATTCATCCAGTAAGGTAGTATAGTATGACTTAGTAATTACTTACCCTGATAAGTATTTCGTAAACGGCTCTTAAGTTGACTATATATTTTTATCAACGATATATTTTACAAACTAATTAATAAACTAACTGTTGGTTGATACAATATTTATTATATCTGAATAACTAATAACTAGTTTTTACTTGATAAACTAATCAATATTTCTTTTTTGATAAACTATATGATAATTATAAAATGGCCTTAAACTGTTCATAAAATTATTCAAACTAAAGGGTCGTTTACCAAATACTTATCCGGTAAGCGTTTACCAGTAAAATTCAATACTATTTTTTACTTATTGGGTAAGATTTTAGTCAATAAAAATGGCTTTCTATGCAATAATTTATTCGGTAAAAGCTGACCGTAGTAAGAGTCATTACCCTCACTTACCGGGTAAGACTATCACTTTTTGCCCGATTTTTGTCGGGTAAGATTTTTGGTCCTTGCTATATTCATCCGGTAAGATAATATAACTTGGTAAGCACTTATCCAAGTAAACATTTGATAAACCATCCCTTAGTTTTTAAAAAGTTAATTAGGTGGTTGATAAATAAGTAGGGGTAATAACATCTCTAACAAAATACCGGTTTCTTTCAATTAATTTGATAGCATGAAATACCCGTTTCTTTCAAACTCCAACCCCTTTTCTTCACATCATTTGGCGACCTTATTGCAAAAATGCTTGCAATCAAAATCTTTAAGACCATGCAAGCAAATTCATGCCATCATCTTAACCTCAGCCGTTGACATCAACTCCTTTTCGCTACATTCAAAGTTGGTGGGTGTTTATGCAAGTTGTGGTTGTTTCACTTCTGCTCATTCTATGTTTCAAATCACTCCAAACCTTAATGTTTTTGCTTACAATTGGATGATTTCTGCTTTGACATTCAATGGGTATTTCGAAGAAGCTATAGATTACTTCTCTTTACTTCAAGAATCAAGAAATCTTGTTCCTAATGGTTTTACTTTTTCGTTTCTACTCAAGTGTTGTGTCGGTTTGACGGATTCAAACAAGGGTAAAGAGGTTCATTGTGTGATAAACAAGTTTGGGTTCCAGGTTGATTCATATGTGGTTAATGCCTTGATCGAGATGTATTGTAAATGTGGCTGTCTACGTTATGCCCGCCAACTATTCGATAAAATGTCGAAACCAGATGTTGTTTCTTGGACAAACATGATTTCTGCGTATTCTAGTGCTGGAAGGCTCCAAGAATCACAATTTCTGTTTGATAGGATGAAATTAGGAGGATTGGAACCTAATGAGTTCACCTGGAATGCATTGATAGCTGGGTATGCTAGAATCGGAGATTGTGATGGAGCATTTACTTCGTTTTCAAGAATGTGCGAAACTGGTTTGGTTCCTGATGTTGTTACTTGGAACGCTATGATTTCTGGCTTCGTTCAAAGCCAACAGACCGTCAAAGCCGTGGAACTCTTCAGGTCCATGTTGGTAGCCGGGGTCAAGCCCAACTCCATTACCATTACCGGGTTACTCTCAGCTTTCGGATCCACGGGCTTAGTTGATCACGGGAAAGAAATCCACGGGCTAATCTATAGAACAAATACATACATCAATATCTTTGTTTCTAGTGCACTTATCGACATGTACTCTAAGTGCGGGTGTGTCAAAAACGCAAGAAACGTATTCGACGCCCTACCCTCCAAGAACGTTGCTTCATGGAATGCAATGATTGGATGCTATGGGAAACACGGGATGGTTGATTCCGCCATCCAACTCTTAAATACGATGCAAGAACAAGGGATACAGCCAAATGAAGTGACTTTAACATGTGTTCTTGCTTCTTGTAGCCATAGTGGATTGGTGAAGAAAGGTTTGGCGATCTTTAGATCGATTAGGGAGAGTTATGGGATCGAGATTAAAGACGAGCATTATGGTTGTGTCATTGATATTCTTTGTCGCTCTGGTAAAATGGAAACGGCGTATGATTTGGTGCGGGAAATGGGTACGGATTCGATGGTCGGAGCTTTCTTCAATGGGTGTGTGGTGTACAATAGACCAGATTTGGCTAAACAGATGTTTGAAGATGTACTGAAGATGGAGTTAAAGAGACCAGGAGGGTTTGTTACCATGGCAAATATTTATGCCAAGGAAGGAGAATGGGCAAAAGTTGACAAGGTAAGACAAATCATGCAACTGCAGGGTCTCCAAAAGCAACCTGGGGTCAGTTATTCTTAAAAATTCAACTAAACACTTACTTGGTTGGTAAGTGCTTACCAGATTAATTTCCTCATTGGATGAACATGAGAAAGATGGAGAGTCTTACCCGGTAAGTGAGGATGACGACTCTTACCTAGGCCAGTAAATTGTTACATTCGATATGTTTTGATATACTAAAATCTTACGCATCAAAATAAATCATAGCGTTGACTCATATTAGTAAGCGCTTATCGGGTAAGCAATTGGGTAAACGGCTTGTATAAAAGACTTAGGGTCCTTCATGAGCACACTTCAAAAAGCATCTATTACAGTTATCAAAGAGTTTGATGAATGTGGGGCCATTTGTGTAGAAAAACTTATAGAAGTACATCGAAAGTGTTGGAAGAAATTATTATTCTGATTTAATTGTTGATATCAAAGTTGATATTTAGTATATTTTGTAGCATTTCTCTAAAATCATATATGAAAAATAATTACCATATTCGGTCGGGATGAATCCAGGCTTACTCTCAACTTTGTAAAAGTTTAATTCTTCTATAGCCCAAATCTAACCCCCTACACAAAGCCTCACATTTCACTCACTCATCCAAAATATATATATATATATATATATATATACATATATATATTTGGGATCACGTTTTCTTCGTGATATCTTTTTATACTTGAAACTTCACGGAAAAATACTGTGAATGCAACATTCATAATGTTTTGCTGTGAAAGTTTAGATTTTTTTTACCTTCACAGTGTCTTGTTGTGAATTTTCAAGTTTAAAAAAGTGATCTCATGTGATTTACGAAAACAACTTGTCTCAAGTGAACCAATAAACGGTTAATCATGTGATATGAGTGTGATAATCATGTGATTATCACACAATTATCACATTATCGCTTGTATCAACACGATTTGGTGTGATTTGGATGTGATATGAGTGTGATAATCATGTGATTATCACACAATTATCACATTATCGCTTATATCAACACGATTTGGTGTGATTTGGGTGTGATATGGGTGTGATAATCATGTGATTATCACACAATTATCACAAGGATTCCGCTCGGCTAGGGTTAACTTAGAAAATCGACTACCGATTTGGTGTGATATGATAATCATGTGATATCACTATCATAACAACGCACTCGATTTGATCATGGTTTCGATCGGTTAGGATTAGACGATCACACATTTATCACAACAATTACGAGCGAAATCCACTAAACGATTTGGTGTGATATGGGTGTGATAATCATGTGATATCACTATTATAACACCGTGATAATCATGTGATATCACTATTATAACATCACTTGTGCACTCAATTTGATCATGGTTTCGATCGGTTAGGGTTAGACAATCACACATTTATCACAACGATTATTCATGGTTTCGATAGGTTATGGTTACACTTGATTGATCATGGTTTCGACATGTTATGGTTATACAATTATCACAAGTGGAGAGAAGGAGTGGAAAAGAACATGCAGAAAAAAATGGATAATTATGACTAATTAAAATAAAATAAAAATTATAAAAATTAATTAATTACATTACTGCCTTTATTAGTTTATTTATATTTAATATAAGTTAATTTATTAATTAAAAAAGTTTGAGGTTATTAGATTGTTTTCGCGTTCTCGTAAATCACAGGGGTTCTTGTTTGAATCTCCTACCACATATATATATATATATATATATATATATCTATATAGGGGCTGGTTCAAATAGAAACCAACCATATGGTACAAACTATGTGAACCGATCTTGATCGTTCATTTTATCATCAAACGGTTATTATTAAATGAGATTAAATAAACAATAATTTAATTAATGTATTAATTGATATGTGTATGAACAATTGTTCAAAGGGT